TCCAAAAGATGGTTAATAAATATATTTAAAAATTTTTAATATTAGCAATTTTTAATCACGATGGATTACAATAAAACTTTATTAAAGTAGCATTATAAACACTGTTTTATAAACATGATAAATAAATAAGGTCTATTTATTATTTACTGGCTGAAAATGTTTGAATTTTTTAGTCAATTTCCTTTCGATAATTCTCATATAATAATTTACAATTAAATAAAAATAAATAATTAAAATGTGCTTAATATTATTCATTATATTTGATTATACTTATGAAGTAGAGATTCACAGACTTTTTTTTAAATTTAAAATAGATAAAATAATCAGCATATCAAAGTGATATAAAAATAGCTCATAGTACTCTATTAAAAATATTTATATTATTAAAAGTGGTAATTAAAAAACAAATTTCGTATTTAAAATAAATTATTAAAAAAAAATTTTAATAATAGAAGAAGTTAGAGATTCAGTATGTAGAATAATATAAAGCTTTTTTTGAATATAATAATATTATAAATGTAATAATAAATAATTTAATAATGATTTATTGAATTTAGCGGATATTAATGTTTAACTAATCATAAATTGTTTTTCAGCAAGCCGAGGGCGAATTTCATAATTTTTTATATACGCACATCCAAATATCGTTAAGTTTTATGCTTAAATTAATGTTTAATAAAAACTTATAAAGATTTTGAATGATTAACTTTTAAATTACAAAGTATATTTATATTATTATAAAATTAAAGATAAACAGTGTAAAGCTTAATGAGCACTTCAAAATATATTCATAATAATTACTCTTTTCTTACAGCAATTTAATCTTAAACCTCTTTTTCAGCAATATGTGCAGCAGATAATTGTAAACGCGAAATGAAATAATATAATAAATTATCGCGCGGAAATTTTTATATCTATATAAAACAAAAACAAAAATACAGGAGTCTTTAATAAAAATAGAAATCACAGATGTAGGATTCCTTCGTAAGTCATGTTATTGATATGTACGTACACGTATAAGTTAGCCGAATTACAAATGCATGCACAATATTCGACATATAAATGTAATTAGTTTATATATATATATATATATATATATATATATATATATATACATACATACGTGTGTGTGTGTGTGTGTGTGTGTGTTTGTGTAATTATGATGCGTTGAAAAGGCGAAAGAGTGCACTAAGCACTGTATATTATAAGCGAATAAAAAAAATCTGCCCAAATGTTGTGCCGACACAAAAACTCTTGCATACGCTGCTTACAGGTGAAAAAGGATTTCCTGGCTTTGCTGCGGGAACACAAGGACATCGATCGTCATTCCCACTGGAGTGATTGCAAAAAACGTTTGGAATCCGATTGGCGTTACAGGAACGTTGATTCGGCGAGTACACGCGAGGACTGGTTTCGCGATTATGTACGAACATTAAAGGACGAGCGTAGGAAGGAGAAAGAAAAGGAGAAAGAGCGAGAGCGCGAGGCAAAGGAGGAGAGACATAGAGAAAAGGAGCATCACAAAGAGAAGAAGGAGAAAGACAGGGACAAGTCTGATAAGAAGGAAAGGAAAGAGGAGAAGAGCAGCAAAAAGGAGAAGAAAGACAAGGACAGGGACAGAGATAGAGAACGAGAACGAGACAGGGACAGGGACAAGGACAAGGACAAGGACAAGGAGAAGGACAAGGACAAGGATAAGGACAAGGACAAGGACAAGGACAAGGACAAGGACAAGGATAGGGATAGGGATAGGGATAGGGATAGGGATAAGGATAGGGATAGGGACAAGGACAAGGATAAGGATAAGGATAAGGATAAGGATATCGAGGTCTCGTCGAAAAAGAAGCGCAAAAGTGATGAAAATCACGAAAAGGAGAAAGATAAAAAAGATGTCCATGTTGAAAAAGAAAGTGGCGAAATTGACGACGCCGAGGAGAATAATCACAAGGACACGCCCAATAAAGACAATGATAACGTAAGTTTCATTATTTATTTTATTAATTTATAAACATTTTATTCTGTGTTCTATATATATTCTGTTTTTGGTATTCAGGAGAGTTATCGACACGAAGATGACGAAGATGATAAGTCCGATTCGGCAGCGGCTGCCGCGGCGGAGGAAGATCGCGAGAAGCAGAAAAGAGATCGAGAAAGAAGAGCAGAGGCAAGTCTTCGAGAGCGGGAGCGGGAAGTGCAAAGAACCTTAGCGACACATCTTAGAGATCGCGATAAAGAAAGGCAGCATCACAGACATACCGAGGCCGTGCAACACTTTAATGCCCTGCTTGCTGATCTGGTGAGAAGCATATTTCAATTTGTTTATTTTTCTCCCTCTTTAACTACTTTATTTTTACATTGAGCAATGAATTTCACTTATTTAGGTAAGAAATGGTGATCTTGCGTGGCGTGAAGCTAAAAGACAGTTACGTAAAGATCACCGATGGGAATTAGTCGACACTTTGGATAGAGAAGAGAAAGAAAGATTATTTAATGAACACGTTGAACAATTGGGGCGTAAGAAACGAGATAAATTTAGGGAACTGTTGAATGAAGTTGGAGCTTCCACTGAACTGACAGCTTCATGGAAAGATGTAAAAAAATTACTCAAGGATGATCCACGGTATCTGAAGTTTTCATCTAGCGACAGGGTAAGCTGATTTTGCTAAATAATTTTAGTTAATTTATATATATATATATTTTATTTTTATTTGATAACCCAATATTTCCATAATTGTTGATAGAAATGTGAGAAGGAATTTAAAGAGTATATCAAAGATAAATTGGTAGCAGCAAAGGCAGACTTTCGGGAATTGCTTCAAGAAACAAAGTTAATAACAGATAAAACGTATAAGAAAGTGCAAGACAGCAGTGGACATTTAACGGAGATCGAGGATATTTTAAAGAAAGATAAACGATTTTTGGTTCTTGAGGCTGCATCTTCTGAAAGAACGCGGCTCCTTATGGGATATTTAGAAGAATTAGCTCGTCGAGGTCCACCTCCACCTCCTACTGCATCCGAACCATCGCGTAGACCTACAGTGAAGTAAGCGATTTTAAGAATTTTAATTTTGTTTTCATGAATACAATGAACATAAGATTAAACAGTTTTTATATTGTTTAAATTGCAGTTGAAAGGTTGATAGTATTTTACAAAGCAAAAGTGAGCGATTTCCTTAGTGTCAAAAAAACCATAAAGGTTGTGGAGTGAACACGTGTTACCTCACGTAATCATCGCTATTGTTATACATAGTCATCAACAAATAATACAACCAAATATAAAAATTAAAAACTGTATATAAGTACAAGTTTAAACTGAAAAATAAAAGTTGAATGCAAGTGAGAAAGAGCTACGATTATATTTTAATCAATATTTGGATAGCATTCTTATTGTCTCCAAGAGTTTGAATTTAATAACCGCAGAGTTCTTACCACGATGTTACTGAACAGCAACTTCAGACTTGTTCAATAGTGTCATCAATTTTTTATAACTCAATTGACCTGCATTGATAGCAAGTAATAGATTTGTTATTTTCTTGTTTATCTTAAGCAACAGTAATAAAATAAATATTAAATAAACTACAATTTATTCAACGACTAATTATGCTTTTTATATTTATCCTTGTTTTAGATTTGTAACAATCTTTTGTTGATATAAGTTTATTTAATTGCAAGTGTCTTCAAGCAGTGGAAATATAATGCAACTAATCAAATGTCTTTAAAAATTTATATTAGCATTTATATAGGAAAGTTTGATTTTTATTACAGATGCATGTTAAATTACTAAAATTTTAAAAATAAATAAAATCAATCATTTAATTAAAAAAATATGTTTTATTATAATACAATACTTTATAATATTTGTATATTAGAAAATAAAAAAATTAAAATTAAAAAAAAAAAAACTAAAAAATTTATACTAATTGATTTGCATAATATAAATAACTATGTTTTCAAAGTAGTTGACTATTTGTTTTTTGTATATTCTTTGTAGAATCTTGTATTTTTGTAGAGGACTCGTTAAGTTAAATTGTAAAATTGATGAAAAATTATATAAGAATTTGATTATTGATCGTTTGGTATACTAATTTGATAATGTAGTAATGTTTTTCATTTACAACTGAATTTATTTACTAATATCTGTAGGAATAATATAATATATAGTAATTAAGGTTGGAAAAAGAGAAGATTAATTAAAAACTATAATTTGGTATTTAACATAATCTATCGATTGAAAAAATAAATGACTGATAACACTAAAGAGGCCAAAATTTAATTTGAAATACATTAAAAAATTAAAATAAAATTATAATATTTGAGAAGAACAATGAAATAGTTTAAATATAATATATTATTTTTTATTTATATATATATATATATATATATATATATATATATATATATAAGTAAAATGTGAATGATAATTAAAACGATACAAAACACAATATATATATTGTTTGTATATGCATATGTATATAGTGTTTTTATCGTTTTAATTATCATTGAAAATGAAAATAATTTTTTTTTTTATTAAGAATATTTGTTTCGTTATTGATGTTATATGGTATTGAGTTTAAGCATCAATTAGATGTATAATACAACTATTAAGATGTGAAACAAATATTTTTAAACTAAAACTTATAAGAATAATTTTAATATAAAGTTTTTAATAGAATCTGAAAGTTCATATGAAAACATTTAATTTATTTTTAATTGTCTTGTAAATATTAATTTAAATATGAATTTTGTTACACGCGATTTTAAGGTTGAATAGTCGTTAGATTAAAAAAGATAGATCGAAATGGGTTTAAAGAGAAAAAAAAGTATTAAAAAATATTTGTAAATCATTAATAAATTAAAGTATTATTAACATTAAGATGCTATTAACTGATTTTAGAAATGATTTGAGTTTTTTTATGATAGCGATAAATAACTATTTATTAACTAATACGTTAACCACATCCGTACACCTTGCTTTTAATTATTTTTATGAACATAACGTATTAGGATGCATTTAACTTTAACATTTTTAAAATTTACTTTCGATTTATTATAGTACATGACTCATCATTGGCAATAGTCAACCGTTAAAATTACGGTGTTTAAACTGCAACGAAATTTTAGCGTCATTAATTAGTTCTTAGTAAGTTTAATATTTTTTACTGAAAACAATATTTAGATATTTTATATGTATGCATATGCAGTTAACGAACGCACGCACGAACATACACACACTCACTCACAAGCACACACACACACACATATATATATTTAATATTATTTTTTATAAATCTAATGAAATTTCTTTAGAGAACAGTTTATTTTTTATTTTTGTTTGAGTAAATTCAAAAAATATTTAGGTTATGTATCTAATATATAGATTGTTAGTAAACTGTATTTGACATTGAAAATATATATTTATACAAAAATGCAAATATTTATTTTATATTATTTTATTGTAAATTATTGAAAATACATAATTTATAAAAAATGTAAGTTAAATTATATATGAAAATATTTGTAATTGATTTGTAAATAAATTAAAAATTTTCATTAACATATATTTATATTAAAGATTTTACAGAATATAATAATGTACAATTTGGACTGTAATCCAGATATTGAAAAACATTATACAGGGCATACTGGAAGAATAACAGGTATCTCATTTCATCCTGAAACGAACCAAGTTGTTTCCTGTAGTACGGATAAGAGTTTGATAGTACGAAAGATTAATTCAACAAGAGCTTATAGATTTCACGCACATAATGATGAAGTTACCGATGTAAATTACGCTCCTTCTGGAGAAGTTTTTGCAAGTGCATCCAAAGACAGAACCGTAAAAATATGGGTTCCAAAAATTAGAGCAGAATGCCTAGACTTTATACCACATCAAGGTACCGTAAGGTCTATACAATTTAATCCAGATGGTGACAAGGTATAGTTTTTCCTTCTTTTTCTTTGTTTTTTTTCTTAATAATGCAATTTTTATTAGAATATTAAGAGAAAGCATTAAAAAATCTTGATTTAGTTACTAACTTCGTCGGATGATAAAACTATAAAATTGTGGATGGTTTGTCAAAGAAGATTTTTGATGTCATTCATAGGTCATACAAATTGGGTAAAATATGCCACATTTTCACCAGATGGAAAACTCATTGTCTCATGTAGTGACGATAAGACTATAAAGATATGGGATGTTGTAAGCAATCAATGCATAAAAACATTTAATGAAATAAAAGGTACCAGTTTGCTTCTTATTTTTATGCTAAAGAATATTTAAAAATTTTGTTAATAATAAAAGTTTTAATGATTAACGCTTAATTAATATTTAAATTGTTTATACTATTTTTATAAAATAGATTTCTTATAGTTAAGTATTCATTACTTTAATGTGCAGTGATAATAAATTAATTAAATAAAATCTTTTTGAAGCATCGTTCGTTGATGTTGAATTTCACCCACATGGAATTGCAATTGGTGCAGCTAGTACATCGGGTTCTATAAAAATCTTTGATTTGAAGACAGGATTTTTACAACAATGTTACGATGCTCACCAAGGGCCAGTATGTAAAGTAAGATTTCATCCAAATGGGAAATTTATGCTGACAGCATCGCAAGATTCTACATTAAAGGTATATATATATATATATATATAATTGAAGAAATGTAATTTATAATTTACTTGCTGAAATTAAATTGTTATAGGTACTTGATTTATTAGAAGGTAGACCCATTTACACACTCAATAGCCATACTGGCAGCGTAAGTGCCATAGCATTTTCAAAAGAAGGAGATTATTTTGCATCGGGTGGTTCCGATTGTCAGCTTTACATTTGGAAATCTAATTTTGATAGAGGTAACAAATTTAACAAATGAATTATTAAAAATTTGTAAAATTTTATTTAAAATTTTAAATTCCAGAATGCAACATTTGAGACTTGTGAAATGCTAGGGAGGCAGCCTATCATTGAAGATATAATTAATTAATGTGGAGGTAAAAATTATTTTTCCAAATATTACGTAAAGTCACAAGAATCTCTTAATAATATTTTATAAAATAATTAGCGAAAGATAATTAAGGATTAATTGAAAATTTGCATCAAATTTAAAAATATAAAATATAAAAAGAAAAAAAAAAAAAAAATAAATTACCATTTGTGTCTTATGAAAGAAAATTTATTAATATTACACAAATTACAGTATAAATTATAGGATCCCTCAAAGAAGAAATGAACGCTAAAAATAATACTGTAATTAACTAAAAACTAAAATAAGATTAAAGGAAGTTGTACGTGATTGCAAAACGCAAAATATTTGAAAGATTTTATTTTTACATTTTATACAGTATTATTGTACTAGAATAAATTATTTATTAATTTTAGTTTTTGCAATTTATAACAATATGTATGAATACGTATTTAAAATTATAATTTTTGTATCGAACGGTTGTTAAAACGCTTAATAAAAATTTTCAATGCTCAGCATGACTGCAGAAATTTTGTCATCAACTATATTTATTTTTGAACACCGACAAATGAACATGTTTTTCCAGTCTTCTTGATTGATTCTAATATTTGATTATGATCAAGATTTGTCGTTACAAATACTTTTTTTGATGGAAGATCGATTGTTAGTTTGGAAATATCTGTAATTATTACATCTATTAAATATGCTTTATAATATTACGAAGCGCATTAATAAATTAATAAGCAATGACGATTAATGAAAGCCTCTTTAATAAAATTTTTATATATAAAATAACCTGACACTTTTCCAAGAACTCTTTGTACCGCGTTAGAGCATCCTTCGCAGGTCATGTCAACATTGTATTCGTAAGTCTAAGATTAAAAATAGTTAATTTTATTGGCTGAAAAAATATAAAATAAATTTAGAAATATTACTTGCTGAGCCATATTTTTCGCTTTGAAAAGTTCGATCTGTTTTTAAATATTTGACAATATTTAAATGCCGCTGGCTTCAATGATACAATAATTATTAAACATTTCTCGCATAAAATGCAATCACTCTCACTCTCACTCTCTCTCTCTTTCTTATTATAATTAATTTTTATTTCTTCTTATAAATCTTATCATAATGTAATGTTGTAATGACATTGACGTGGAACGACATAGAGTATAACAATGTTATAGATTCGCATAGATTAAAGTTCTCGTAGTGCTCGTAGAGCTAAATTTCCAATCTTATATTTAAATTAGAAAGAAAAATCAACAAGTTTTTTGCCTCGATTAATTTCAACGAGATTTTTTCTCTCGAAACATTTATGCGCAAGAGTGACGACTCTCGTACTCGACGCTTTAAAATATATAATCAAATGTAAAATACATCGACTAGATGTTTTAGCTCCAAAGGGAATACGAACTGATACAGTTATATCTAAAGTGTTTGAATTTACGGATAAGAAACTTTTGGAATGTTAGACATAATATCAAGAAGTAGCATAGGCAGAAGCGCCACGGTGAAAATGTTTAGAACTACGCATGTATACAGAGCTTGTAACTTATCAAGTACAAATTATAGAAATTATCCAGTATAAAAACATGTATGAACATTTATATAATTCAAAGAGTACAAATACTTGAGATAATATCGTTACCGTTAATGTACTTTTCAATGTAAAATATGAAGATGTGCTTTTGTAAAGATGTTGGTTTTATTCACTGGCAATCGACATGTTATTATTAATAAATTTGCGAGGATAATGACCAATTGTTATTAATCCAGAATAATGGATAAAGTATAGATAAAATTATAATTTTTCTGATCGACGATCATGGAGGAAGATAAAATAGCAATAATTAGCGTAGCTACGGAAGTAAAAATAATTAACGTTGCTTATGCTAATGGTTGGACTGCGGAAGATTTATGTATTAAGGTTAGACTATTGTGTTTTATATTTTTTAATAATAGAATGGGTTTTAAATTCGATTATATATGAAATTTTAATAATCGAGTTGTTTATTTATTGCAGATATGTCAGCAGTTTGGTATAGGTCCCGTCGCTCGACATCTTTTTGCTCTTAGAAATCGTACGACAAAGAATTGGTATCATTCCGGATACAAATTTGATGGAAAGGAGAAGCACAAATTTGAGTTTAGATTAAGATTTAAGCCATCTAGTCTACATAGATTAAAACAAATAGATATAAAGGCGTACGATTATTATTTTCAACAAGCAAGAGGCGATGTCTTAGAGAATAAGGTACAAGACATTGTATACGAAAGGCATAAACGAGAATTGATTGGCTTAGGTGTTTGTGATATGTATAGGTAATAATTTTTGAGTTACCAATTTATGGCAATATTAATGTTAATTTATATTTACTTATTTACTCGTTTGTAGAGTTATGCTGGAGAAGGATGTTGCGCGTGAAATTGTCGAATCGGATTATAAAAAATATATTCCTAAAGAATGCATCAAACGCCATTCATTTTTTATTAAAAAACCCATTCATAATGCCTTAGCTCGTATATCAGGACACGATGCTTCGTTTGTTAAAGAACAGTACCTCAATCAATTTGAAACTATGGCACCTAATTATTTATGCGAAGAATATAAGGCTTTAATGGATAAAGGATTGCCTAATCCACCGCTTCGAATATTATTGAGAATCAATGCCATTGAAATAAAATATTGTCAGTTAGATGAAAACAATAATAATTGGAAAATATTATGTGCCATCGAAGATCTTTGTTTTGTCTCCATTAGGTAATATTTAAAATTCTCTTAAATCGCCTTATTATATGATTATTTATCGAAAAGTTTTTTGCAAATTACAATAATTGTACTTAGGCAAGATAATACCGTTGAAGTGTCAAGAAAAAATGGTATTCCATCATATCTGAAATTTAGTACAAATTCTTTATTAATGTCATTTGTTTCCGTACTCGATGGATATTATCGCTTATCTGTAAAATGGACATTTAATTTGTGCGGTGATGCTGTCACAGCTAGCCTAGAGCGCTTGCATAAATTGAAATGTCATGGACCCGTTGGGTAAAGATATTGGAATAAGTTTATTTTATAATGTTAATAACACGATAATCTTTAAAATCTTTTAAAACTTTTAAAATCCGTTAGAGGAGAATTTTCTTATTCAAAACTTGAAGAAAAAAGGGCCAACAGACCAGGAACATTTATTTTACGTGAAAGCGAGTCCAAGTACGATGCATTTTATTTAGATGCTTGTGGAAAAGACTCAAAGCCTCGTACAAGAAGAATCGAGAAACTTGGAGCCGAAGATTTCGCCTTATCAGATTCTATGCAGCGATTTAAATCTATTGCTCAATTAGTTGCCGCTCACCAAGATCCTGAAAATTCATTGTATCTTAACGAATGCTTGCCACCCTCAGAATATGGTATATAATTATCAAAATTGTTAACACTGCATTTTTAAAGATTGTGCTATCGTTATAATTCTAAGATGTTTATTCAATATTGCTTCAACAATTCAATGTTTCAACAATCTGTTAACATTCAGATAAGTCACCGTTGCTAATATGTGCTCCCGAAGGATTGGGCAGTGATGTTGCAGCCGATGAAGACATTATCGCTGGGGTATTGGAAGGAAGGCCTTGTTGCGTATCGCCTCACGAGCTGCAAGTATACAAAGCCCAGCCTTTTCCTAAAAGCAAAGAAAGTCAGGCTCGTCTAAATTCGTCGTCTTGCGGAGGTCCTGCTACGACTCTTTATAAAGCTATGTGGCGCGTTAGCAAGGGCAAGAGACTAGAAGTTGCCATTAAATTGCTAAGAGAAGACGAAGGTCAACCGACAAAACAGTTTTTAAAATTAGCACAAAAGTGGGTCCAATTAAGATCCACAGCCCTCGTAAGGTATGTAATTTAATATTATTAATAAAAACTAATAATATATAATGGGCGTCCTAGCTATGAACGATTTTATTTTTAATAGGTTGTATGGTATAACACTTGCACCCGCAGTGGGTATGCTACTGGAGCTCGTTAAATTGGGACCTCTCGATGCTTATTTGCGTAATAATTCCCCACAAACTATCAAGACAGTTGACATGGTCGAGGCTGCCGCTTGTCTTGCCACAGCAGTATGGCATCTGGTAAATTTTTCTTTTCACTCGAACAACAGTTCTAATATAATATAATTTTAGTTAACGGTACATTAATTAATCCAGGAAGAGAACGGAGTTGTACATGGAAATATACGATGTCGAAAATTATTAGTACATACACATACCGATAATAGTTTTATAATAAAACTGGCCGATTCTGGGATATTTAGTTATAAATCAGCTGAGTATGTTATAATTTTTTTTTTTTTTTTTTTTTTTTTTTTTTTTTTTTTTTTAGCTTTATATCTTATCCTAAGATTTATATTCAATTTGAAAGAAATTGTTGATTCGTGTAGCGTTCACTGGCTACCTCCTGAGTGCTACAGCAATCCAGATTTAGCGAGGCGTAACATCCAAGCCGATGTTTGGGCTGTTGCTACAACTCTTTGGGAGATTTTTTCGAGAGGAACAATTCTACCATCCCAAAATGACCCCGACACAATAAAAAAGGTATGAAAATTATAAATAGTGTACTTGAATTATAATGATCATACTATCATCGATCATCAGTAAAAAGTTATATATTATTTTAGTTTTATGCTAGTGGGAAAAGACTGCCGATACCAAGTGGCTGCCCATCCGAGGTGTATAAGCTCATGACTGACTGTTGGGGTGAAATTGGAGGTTCAAGGAAACAACCACAAGCCATAATGCGAGATATTAACCAAATTAAGTATCAAGTGTATAACTCGCGAAGAAGTCATGCTTATGCCATTGCATTTCCAAAACGAGCAAATGATTCGGAACTTATAGACGATGATTTTAGTGAGATTACGGAGCATAATTCATCCTCAGATTGCGAATCACGAGCCAGTAGTCTCTTCACAGATCGTACGAGCTTGCCTTGGGACGATTCCGAAGATAATATCGGAGGTATTCAGCATCATAATAATGCTAGAAAAATAATAATAATTAATAATCATCTAGAAATAATTATAATAGTAAATTAAGTATCTTATTAAAAAATAATTCGTGGTTATTTTTAATGATTTGTTTTTATTTAAGGCAATTATCGCACGATGATAGGGTAGAAAAACATTTTTTATTCCATAAATTATTAGGTGAAAGTTTTATATTATATTATAATTATTATGTTAATTTAATAATTTTGATAGAACGTTGAGATCGCAATATTGAAATAAGCTTTATGATAATAGGTCCTTCGGGTACGTAATTAAAATGTCTTTAATTAAAATACGTGTGTTTAAGGTTTAGCCGAGTGGAGTGGCATTCCGTTTCAAGATACCGATGACGTTCTTTCTACTTATTTGGGTTGGTGGGCAAAAACGAGTGGCAGTTGCGATGATCACGGTGATAATGGATATGATAACGATGGTGGATTGTTAGGACAGATGCAAAGTATTTTCGAATTGGATGCCGATTGTAATGTCATTCTGCAGGGCCGTATAGGTCAAGGTTTTTATGGGGAGGTATATCTCGGTACACTGGA